GCTCCCTATAAAAATAGATTTAAAAGATTGGTTTTAAAAGTAGTATTTTAGAAAATTATATTTAAAAAAAAATTACGGAATATATGCAAATGTATATACACGTAACTTCTTCGGTACATAGACTGTTCAAAGTCATACAAAATCAAGATAGTAAATATACAAGATAGTAAATACATGTAACATGAAATATCTATAGATTAGCAATACAGCTATAGTCGATTTATCGAGTAATTATTTTTAAAAGAAAACCTCGCAAAAGAAATCGTCATCAAACACACTTAGCTTAGGGATTATATTAGCAAAATGCTCTTCACGCTATTAGTTAATTTTGCATAATTTGAAATGTATAGCCAAATAAAATGTTAAGTAACGAACAAAACGTTCAAGTGTATATATATTTGAGCGATAATACGCTCAAGTTTAAGAAAAATGAGAGAGTTTTTATAATTAAATGCTAAAATGTACTTTGAAAAAAAGAAAGGGGGAGAGAGAGAGAGAGAAAACGTTTCGAAATGCTTGAAAGTAAAAATGTATTATAATAAATGCTAACTATTGTGTATTGGCATATAAGTTTTATGGTGTAACGGTAAGGCATCGAGCTACTGAACAAAGAATTCCATAAATAATTATTAGAATTTGCTATCAAATAACGGAAATATTAAGAGCCATTATATCTACAAGAGTCGTAATATCATCTCTATTAAAGTAACAAAATATATCTGAGAGAGATCGTTGCTAAAATATACTTAAAACTATTTTTCTCGAGATTCGTTTACAACTAATATAACTTACACCTGATATAATACGTTTTGTTACACTCGATTCAAAGTACTGAATTTTTGAAAAATTTGAAAAGCTTCTGCGTCTGCGACAGAATTGCGGAATGCATTGCAACGCTCTGTATCAAAAATACAATACCCGATAGAAGATTAACTGCCGCCGATTCGAATCCTGATTCGCCTGTGGAATACGCGCGGCTCGCCCTTTGCCATTTTTCATCTCGTTCAACGTGATATTAACTTGAAAACGGCCACTCTCGGACATTACCGTAAAGCCGATCGTATCTCTGCTTCGACCCGCTCTAAAGCCGAACTTGGGACCGAAGGGAGCCTTTTGTGCGGATAAAAACTTACGATGCTTAACGTTAAATTGAATCTAACTGTCAATTTATCGTATATCATGTTAAACATATGTTTACACCTAAATAAACACTAAATACTTAGGTAGTTGCTTTCAAAGCGTACTTATATATCTTCTTTATACATATAAACGTGCAGTTATATTTAAAGTGAGCTCTTATCAAATAACTGTATATCTTACAAATTTAGATTTATTTTATCTTTTCACTTTGAATCTTTTATATGTAATAGATTTTGAATCACGATCTCAGCCATTAAATGTGTTTGATTTAGTTTAATCTATATCTGTTAATCTATATTTAAACCATTTTGCTTGTTATATGAAGGAGCTGTTATAAAATCGTCATTACAATCGTCTCATTACAAGAATATCGTCACTATCTATTCGTTACGAATTCTAACGCTACTATATTAAATAGCGTAATTCGTTATACGAGCACTACTGCTATTAAAGTGATTCTACACGATCAATAATACTGTCGGTATTAACAAATATTGATAATATTACTGATCGTATATAGTTAATATTGATGGATTAACGATAGAATACTGACGGTGATCTGGATTTTGATTCTCGAGCATCGTATTTATTAGGATCCCTGTCACAGTATGTTACAGTGCAATAGATAATGTATGTAAAACTAAAGTGTGAAATATATACTGTCAATAATACCGATCGTATAAAATTGTAAAAATATTAAATATATTGATGCATACATCAGTATTACTGATTCAATATTACTGATCAGTATTATTGATCGTGTAGGATTACTTTTACACTTTTTTTACATTTATTTATTTTCCTAACACTATTGCTGCAATAATACGAACACCATACGAACGCAGTTACCACTATCTATTTTTCTCCGTTAATCGTTACTTCGCTCCGAAAGCCGAAGACAACCGCTATACGCAGTACTTTTCGCGTTCACTAGAACTTACGAGCTGGCGATGCCATCAGAACGGCCAAGCCAGGCAGCCAGCAGCTGCCACGGATTCAACGTTAAACCCGCGTAACCGTGGAAGCGCGGGTCGAACCGGAGATGCGAGAGGCGCGGTCGTGCGTCGCGTTTGCATACGATGCGTCGCGATGCAAATCGGACCGCGTGATGCGAATGAGATACGGCGGGTGGGCGGGCGATGCATCGTGGTGTAGCGGAGTGTGTGTACCGGAATGCAGCCGAGCGTTGTGCGGCGAGGCTAAAGGTAATAATTGATATATAGCGATAGCATTGGCCGCTGACAGCCGCTAACCCGGCCGAATACGGATGACACTCGGTAATCCTCACTCTCATACCGGTTAGTGTCCACCTATATTCCGCGGCGTCCCATTTCCCATTCCCATGGTGTGTAAGCTCGACTCCTCTCTCCCGCTCTCATTCTCCCCCCCCTCTCTCTCTTTCTCTCTCCCTTCCTCGCCCCTCTCTCTTTCTCTCTCTCTCTCGATCCCTCTCGTTCGCGCAACCCCTTCGCCCTTCGAACTAGGCTGAGATATACAGACACTGGATGTGTGTCGGTTGCGCCGCAATCAGGGGTCCAGGAGGGTAGATGATTGCGCGGCAGAGGAAGAGAGAGAGGAAGCGGGAATTGGATAGAGAAGAGAAAGAGAGCGAGCGAGAAGGAGAGACCCTGTATAGAGAATAGAGAAAGAAAGATAGAGCAGTGCACTGCCACTGGAGGCTGGAGCACAGAGCGACTCTCGTGCACCAGCCAGAGCGCCGCCGCGAGGTGTGCGGTGCAACCATACTAATCCGCCGATGGATTTATGGTCTTAATCACCGGCGGATTATCTCGGACAGCCGCGCTCTGCTGCCACCGACCGAAACATACGCCTGCCTCTTTGCAGATAACTGTACCCGGCTTCGCGCTCGACCTCTCTTTCTCGCTGTTTCTCTCTCTCTCTCTCTCTCTCTCTCTATTCCGCCTCTCGTCCTGTTCCTCTCGTCGACTCTTCGGTGCCTTTCTCTCCGTTCTTCTCTTCGATATAACATTTTCGCGGATCTTTTATCCTGTACCGAGGATTTCTATGACGTTACGCTGAGAAAATGAGTCCTAAAGATAATAATCACATTATGCTGGAAACCAAATTTGTACTAAACTACTTGAATTCAAAACTTTAAGATATCTTTTCTAAATTCGTAAATAATTCGCTAGGACTTTATAATAGCCTCTGCTTTACTGAACAGAAGCTTTTATAATAAAACTTGAATACGCGCGGGCTTCTTTTGAAGTAGTTCTATTATTTTCCATTACGACAAACAGTATGAATTAAACTCGGAGCTAATGAGGGCTCGTGTGGAAGGATGTCTTTTGCTGCACTTGAAATAAGCGCGCACCAAGGCAGGTTTAAAATGAAGTATGCCTCCATAATGGCGTTACAGTTTGTGAACGAGCGACGGTCGGGGATCTGCAGCGTTTTGGTACATGGCGTATAGCACCGTGGCGGGAACACCGTACCACGCTATGTGTGGTTCTATAAATCCACCAGGGCTTACTGGCGCAAAGCCTCCCCTGCGGCCTGCGCGCGGCACTCTCACCTCTTTCCCCATGTGACCTCCTATCTGCCCACTCTCTTCTATCCCTGTGTCCTCCCCCTTCTCTGCCATGCCTTGTTCACACACACTTCTTCCACGCTTTTGCCGTCTCGCGATGCCGACCACTCGTCGGAACGTCTCGATGAAACGCAAGCAGGCCATCGGGATTTCGAAGAGCATGTCCGGGCCACTCGCTTGATCCGTTTCGAAGTCACTCGGACTTGGACCGCGCGCGATCCGTCGTTTGTCCGCGAATCAAGTCGCGGAGACGCCATGGCAAGAGAATTTATACAGCGCTTACGGATTTGCGAACTTTCTAACGATCTAGTTTCTTCGACATCACTTCGTTGCAACGAAAAGCACTTTTCTTTTACAATCTCAGATCGTAAAGTATATTATCGCTTGTTGTGTTTGGAGTCATTATGATAATACGTGATTGTTTGGAATCAATAAAAACGCGATTGTATATGAAATTCTAACTACAGATTTGTAGAGTTTAGTATTGCCAGTTTAGTTATATATAGATAAATTTTATTGTGTGTGTGTAGGCATGATTTTTCTTCAGTATAATTTTCAGCTATGATATAATTTCAAATCTATATTTATATTTGTCTCTAATTTGATTATCTTTTCCGATTAAAGTAGATTTATATACGAGCAATAAACATATAGAAATTGTTAAAATTTTTTATATTAGAAGCTTTAATTAACGTTTTATAACATCTAAAATATCTCATCATTTTCGTCGTTTCTATATATCTTGTAGAAACCGTTTGAAACTTTACTAGTGCATAAGATATCATCCGTGATCAGCAGATTGTTGCCTTTGTAATCGATACTTTGATGCTTCAATGCACCCATTGTGAGCGTCTGTTATTGTTTCATTTATAACGAGTTCAAACTTTTAAACGTCGCTTCAATGTTGCTGTTACGTTTTTCGCTTTTCTGAAATGATTTTAAGAAAACTCGAGTCGAATCGTTATAATGTTTCACAATGTAGACACTTGACGAAAGTCGAATTAGAATCGATTACACACGTTGTATAAAACGAAATTAAATGTGAATTGTCTCTATTAGCTTTTGTCAGTTTATAAATTATACAATCATTTTTATTATATATATATATATTTATTAACTAATTTCAATTATTAAATCGAGTTATTAAATATATCTAAAAATTTTGAGGAATAGTTTCCGTTTAGTCATTACACGAATCGTCTTTCTTTATAGAAACGCATCTTAAATAATAAGATATTTATGACGATTCTAACGCGCGTGATGAAATTTAATTCTTCAATGTGAATCGTGATATCGTAAATTCTCTTACCCTGACACGAGCTTCTGTGAGATTCGTACAGCAAGCTATCTCTTCTCTGGTTGACATATCTGGATACCGATTTCTCAAAAACGTCATCTCCAGATTCTGAAGCTGATGTTGTGTAAAATGCGTCCTTTGTCGCCTTTGCCTTTTGTTTTTTTTGCCATCCTTATCGTCGGTATCGTTGACTCCAACTACCCCAGGAGAAACAACGCCACCAGCAGCACCCAATTCGTGTTTCACTTCTGGTGGTGTTCGTACACCTGAAAAGTGTTAAGGTATCATATCTTCGACAAGACCATCAATAGCGTCTCAAATGTAAGATTCATTAGTTTGTTTGATAAGAGCGTGTTTTCCAACGAACTTTTACCTAGAAACCGTTAGATAGAAAATTCCAACGGGAACAAATAGAGGGAATTTTCTCCTAAAATGCTTTATAAAGAAAGCTTCAGTTATATCATTCAATCTTAGTGACAGAAAGACGTATTTCGCCATGAGTACCGCATATGCATCGCGATTCGCCGTGTTTCTCTATATACATCCGAAAGGAAACAATCAATCAAATACGATACGCGGGAAAGCGCCCAAATGCTATCATAGCACTAGCATACTGAAACAGCCAATCAAAATTGTGTCTAAATTCACTCTCCTATTCCGCATCCACAGGTAATTAGATTAGAAGGAAAAACAAATATTTTGATTATTATAAAAGAATAACAGGAAATATCGAAGACATCTTTGTGCTGCGTGGAAATAAGAAAATAACGTTCACGTATTGGATCGGCCGTTACAGTTACCGAATGCAAATCCCGTTAGAAACATTTGGGCATTGAAGTTTAAACTTTGTGAAAAGAAAATTTGAATGTTAAACATCTAGTTCGATAAATTCGATTGATCTGGAGAGCTTTATTTCAAAAATATGTATCATAAAATTAATGAGAATGCCTCGGAGATGTCAAATAATTATTGACAATAGAGGCGACTGAAATAAATTAATAATAAAGCATCACGGTTCTTATCAAATAATATATGTGTATTTCTTTCAATTCATTATAATAAAGAATTTTCGAGTTATACCAGACATGCTCTTATTAAACAGCCTCAATTAAATATTCCACAATTTCTGCGAAAATAATGTCAAAATAATATCAAAAAAAATATTGGCAATATAATCTTAGGTTTTAAATAATTAAATGATATACATCTAGAAATGATACAAAATCCTAAAAGGAAATTCCGTATAAATTTTAATAGTGTAATCTGGATGACGCTGAAGCTAGCGGCCACTTCCAGCGACCAGATCCAAAAAGACAGGGGCGAATAGTAGAGCGGGGCCCCGATTATGAAAAATGGATTTTACGACGTATTTTCATAAAAAATTTATTGAAAATAATAACTCACAATACACAGTGATAAACTAGACAAGATTAAGTTAAAAATACTGACCATAATAATAAAAATAGATAATAAAAATATATACATAATATAAACAATATAAAAATGTTAATATTATTCTCATACGCATGGTGCTACATTTCCAGAAAAAATTCTATAATGCAGTCTGGGACATGAGGAAACAAAAACACTTTGTATTTTTGAACATCAAGCATTGATTGTTTATTTAAAAAAATTATTAACAATTAGCAGTCACATCGATCATAGGTCACACGCATGGTGCTACACTTTCGTAAAAAATTCTGTAATGTAGTCAGGGACGTAGGAAAATTAAAATACCTTGTATTTTTGAACATCAAGGTCCTTATTTTTTTATTTATTCGAAAAATTATAAACAATTAGCAGCCACATCGGTCACAGGTCACACGCATGGTGCTATACCTTCAGAAAAAATTGTGTAATATAGTCTGGGACATGGAGAAACCAAAACATGTCCCAGACTACATTACAGAATTTTTTCTGGAAAGCATCATGCGTATGAGAATAATATTAACATTTTTATATTGTTTATATTATGTACACATTTTATTATCTATTTTTATTATTATGTTCAGTATTTTTAACTTAATCTTGTCTAGTTTATCACTGTGTATTGTGAATTATTATTTTCAATAAATTTTTTATAAAAGTCGTCGTAAAATCCATTTTTCATAATCGGGGGCCCCGTTCTACTATTCGCGCCTGGTTTTTCGGATCTGGCCGCTGGAAGTGGCCGCTAGCAACTTCACGGCGTCATATAATCTGGAGATTAATTAGAGTAAAAAATATTAACAAAGATAAATCAAAATTAAAATAATTTTTTTATAAAAATTATAAATCATTAGTGATTTCTTGTAACTTATTTCGCTTAAAATCGCGCACTCAGACTCATGTGTGTTTACATGCATACATATCGATCTGTTATCTACATTATTGATTTTCACAGCTCAGGTGATATCTATTGATTTTTACTACTCAGCTGATTTTGTCTTTCAATTTCTTATATTGATATTATACACATATAATAGCAATATTGACACGTTGATTATTCATAATATTTTCATTATTATAAATAATTTAATTCTTTTTTAAATAAAAAAATTATGTAATCAATTACTAAAAAAAATGATTAAATTTAATCTAAAATTACAATTTGTAGGAAGAAAGATTTTTATCTTTGTTTTAATAAAAAATGGAAATTAATTTGTTATTTCATTTTTTATCACATTTTTTATTTTTTAAAGAGTAAAACTGTAATTTTAATAAACCGTGCAAGACAAATTACCTGCACGTTTGTTTTGCGATATCTTTAGTTTATTAAAATTGTAATTCCTGATTTAATTAAATCCCGCGATTAAGAACTCATTAATATAAAGCAACTGTTATTTATCAAAATGTATCTTAGGTAATTTATTTTTTCAAAGCAAATATCGAAGTATAAAAGTAAAAATAAAAAATCATAATTTCATTGCAATAATTCATTTAATAATAGATTTGAACATATCTCTCGCGTCATGCTCTGAATTTTTCACTAATTTAAATATAATTTGTCTATTTTTGTACTGAAAATAACGGAATAATATACGAATAGTTGGATTGTGTGAATAATTTTAATGATGAAAATCACATGTATATATATATATATATATATATATATACATACACCGATAATTTATTAATATTTAACTTGAAATACAAGGAATTTAAAATATTCAGCGTATATTTATTTCATAGAACGTATTATGTTTCATGGAGATTTATTATTATTAGGGCGCTCGACTGCATGTGTATCGGAGTCTACAATTTAACATTGTGTATATATACACAAGAACTGTATTCAGAAACTCCCGAGTGCACTAATGATCGTTTTATTCTTGTTTAACATTCGGTGAGTAACAAAGATAAAATGATACATAGATACGCATCTGGGTGAAATTTTTGAATGCAGCCAAGATTATCGCGCTGTCATTCGTACTTTGAATCCCGAGAGCCAAGCGTTTCAATTATATTTTTCATTATTTGACACATACAATTAAACACACATACAATTAAAAAAAAAGAATTTCAATTATATTTTCATCTTAATAAACCAATTATATAAATTGAATCACGTCAGAATAAAGTTGCTAACGTCATATTCGAATTTCTTCATTATTAATAGAACATTATGGATGCCAAACGGATTAACTTCGATTCGATCGGTGTCACGATACGTATAGTAATTAATCTCATATTTTGATAATTTGAACAAAGTGTGTCTCCCATGTTATAATAATTTAAACAAAGCGTCTTAAGACCGCAATCGTGAATACACAACTGAGTAACGAAAGTTGTATCGGTCTAAGTTGGATCTTAGTGCTTAAATAATATTTGCGGTATGAATTTATATATATATCCAGCTCTGCAAATTGCCGATCATATATAATTTAACCAATTGTGCGTAGCAGTCATCGCTTTTGCATCGTTTATTTGTTAAAATCCTCCGTCATTGAAAATTCGTTCGTTGCGCTTTTACAAGACAGCGTTAGTGTTGAACAGATTGTAGCTTCATGTCATAATATTTTTTTCGTATTATCTTTCCGTTGCAACTTTGCAAGCATAGCGGCGCGTAATGCGTATTACGCGATTAATGTCAAGAATGTCGTGCAAAGTGTCGCGTGATCGTAATTAACTTGCAAGTGGGTGTTGTGTGTTATGATGCAGTCACAAACTCTATTACTGTATTTTGCATAAGTGAGTGATAAACTGTATTGCATTTTAATTTAAAGTAATAGATCTATGATGAATATTATATTAGATATATGCGCGCAAAAAGAGATGCAAGTATGTAACGTATGTAAATGTGTATTTTAAGTTATGTTTAAAAAAATATGACAGTTAAGTATAACATTTCATAGAATCACACACACTATTTTAAAATAAGCGAGTTAAAAAAAATCAATATTGTTTAATTCTGGAAGATCAAGCACGAATCTTACGCGATGCTAAATTTAACTGATTAAAACTATCATAATTTTGATATTTTGAATCAGAATTTTTTAAATCTAATTAATCTCCAAAATATAAAAATTATAAGATATTATATAATTATAAAGAAAGTTATATTAATTATTTCAAGTTATTTTTACATTTATTATCATATTTATTAAATTGATAAAATTTGGAATCGTTCTTTCATATATATGTAAGTAAGTAAATCTTTGAAAAATATTCATTGATCTAATGAAATATTCATTGATTTAATGAAGTTTTCGTTATATTTCGTACAGTCATGTGTTTTTAGAAATGCCACTTTATATATATTTGATTTATTGAACGAGATAAAATTCGCCTATGTTTACACGAGCAAAATATTTATTGGTCCAATTTAATAAAATTTTCGTTAGATTTTGGACAGTCATGTGCCTTCAGAAATATCATTTTATATATGTATCTTCGAATTATTAAACGGTCTAAAATTCACTCATGTTTACGCGAGTTCCGCAGTTTGTCACGAAAGTATGATGGACTCTAGCGAGAAGCACACGCGGAAACTGACGGTTCTATCGGTATTAGAATGGACGAAGTGAGATCCGCGAGAAGGTTTGTTGTTAACCGGGAACATAAGACTCCGAGAGATATTTCAATTTGCGGGGATTTGGAGCGCAGGTGAGAGTGCTCCAGCTAAGTGCCGAACAAACGTGCAAACAAACGTAAGCGACCTTTTCCGCTCTTTCCCCCCATTTGCCGCCATCCACCATTCGTTTCAGAACTCCGTGTAAACGCGATAGAGAATGATGTCCGAATGGCCTCTTCTCTTTCTCTGAACTAAATTTTGATTCGTGCAAATACGTCTTTCTCTACTGAATCTAATGTCGAACTTTGAAATACGTGTGCTTGTGGATATATGAGATATCACATATTTTATATTGTTTGCAAAAAAACATTATTAAACATGATTTAATAACCGGTAAAATAAAATAGTAACATCTGTTAATGTTAATATCTGTTAACCGATACAAACAATATCAAATTTTTTATGCTTTGATACACGGAAAGAATTTTTTCTTAGAGTTTACCCTGAAAATATGATAGTTGTGGTTCAACATTGTATTTCGAAGAATTTTAATATAAATCTCTTTTATTCATTGATAAAACTACAATAAAGTATAAAATAAGTTTGATTAATTTTACTGAAGTGCATGGTAAAAATCTTTAAAATATTGTACCACAATTACCATATTTTCAGGATAAATTTTAAAAGAAAATTCTCTCTGTGTCCAATAGAATTAAATTATGATTTTCCACCCCTTGGAATTTTGACGTATATATTAATTGAAGAAAAATTAAATTACATAAAATTTTATAATTATTTTTATAGTCGAAACGTACCTTTTCGAATATCTGGCCTGTGAGTTGCGTTCGTACGGTTCCTCGGCTGTCCGGTGGAATATCCACCGGAGGGTGTCGTGGGGGTCGCTCCCGGTGTACTAGGATTGCTACCACCGGGGGTGTGAGCGCCATGACCCGCGTCGAGCCTCGCGAGGCCCCCATTGGTTTCGTCCCCGAAGTCACTCTGCGCCCAGACTGCAAAACACATCACACCCTCTTGCAACATCGTCTAGGCGCATAGTAATCCTTATTTATTCTCGGCTGCAGCCGCGCACATTAATTGAAGGGTTCCTTTCCGCGTTTCGCTAAATCATTCTTGCACCATATCGCGACATAATGAATGATGTTCTGCTACTTCAGATTTAATCAAGATAAATAGTTAAGTAATGATTGAACAATTACTATTGCATTAATTTGTATTGTTAATAACTATCATTATAATCTAATATCCGATAAATATAATTTAGTAAAATAATCCAGTAAAAAAACTGATTGCCTTTCATTCTAAATGGATGGAAAATTATTTTTACTTTTTCTCTAAACTTTTTAATTTTGAAACATAGATATTTTAGAAATTTTAGATTGTAATTCCTGATAATAGCAATACATATGTTGCATGAATGAGTCAATTAATAATCGTGTTACAATGTCGCCCACCCAAATAAAAGTTATGTTCCGCCGCGGCGAACCGCCCCTCAATCAACGACTATTTATCTACCGACGAAGTAGACGCGACAAAAAGAGAAAAACGGATTCTCCGCTTCTCCTTTCCACACTTCATCGTCGATGTGTACTCTTTATGCATCCGCGTGTTCGTGTGTACATGCAAAGCCACGCGGGACGGGCTGAGAAGTTAATCGGCTCGGTCGTTTAGTTTCGCTTCGTTTAGTTATATTTGGTTTCCATAGGAGCAAAGAGGAGGGACGTGGTTCACAATTAGTCGGCGCATAACTCGGGCTGATTTAGTATCGCGAAGCCTACTACGTACCACGAAGACGCATGTGTCACTTTACTTCGATACCGCTAAGTGTGAGCGGTACACACGTGTTCGTATGAAATAAAAGAAATTCCTTGTGCGATATTTTCAATGGCGGAGGTCTCAAGTATGCGTGAGTTGAAGTTTTTAAATTAATCATTTTTGCCGCGCGTTGTGAAAAGGTGAACTATATCTTGTATAGTTGAAAAATATTCGTTTAAATTAGAATAGCTTTTAATTCGAGAAACTTCAACATTCTTATTCATCAATGATTTTTAATACGATTATATATTTTGCGATTAAATTACGTGCGCCTTTTAAATATTATGCAAGTTTCGATTAATTTTATTACGAAGTTCGTAACGAATTGATCTTCTTCCACATCGTGAAATAATTAAATAGTTTGAAATGAAGAAAATGATTGTTTCTCTAATTGATAATAAAAGCAACCATCGGGATGAAAGGATATGAGAAATGAGAAAAGTTCGGTCGAGTTTTCACTCGCACCATTTCAAGCAAAGTTATAATATTTTGGTAGACAACTTGGTTAGTTCAGTTTATTACGGCACGGTGTGCATGCGCACGAATATGTGAAATTTTTCTGGCAACGGAAGATATATTTGTCAGCGCGTATGATATTTTAGCGGACGTGCGCTCTGTAGTATTAATTTGCATGTTTGTGAGTTACGAACACGCGGCGTATGTAATTGAGGAAATTGTTGAAACTGTTGACGAACATGCGCCAAACAGTTGTTGTGTCAAATGCTTTCTCCAGTGATACCTTCTTGTTAACACTTTGACTGCCAAGTTGATTTCGGTACGAGCTCTGAGAAGCCTGAAGTCGAGAAGCAACTTTGCTCAACTGTTTATATGTGCAATTACATTAAAAAATAAATTATACAAAAATAAATAAAAAGTATATTATATTTTATTTGTGTTATTGAATATTTAATAAAATGCAACTTTAGATGGAACAAATATCTATGATTGAAAGAAATGGATACAATCAGAAAAATAGAAAAATAGTTAATTTTGTTGTTAATAAATCTATCCATACATCTTAGTTTAATAATATTTTTCTTTTTCTTTTAATATTTTTATAAGTACTTAGTAAAATCATTCCTAATTGGATAAATAAAACCGTCACTTACTAAACAGGAAACGGGGTCCTTATAAAAATTTACATGTCCAAATATCGCAGTCAAAATGTTAATACTAATTCATTAGAAAAAAAGCTTTACTATATAATAATAATTAAATGAATGATAAATAACTACTTTCTACTGCGATTTCTGTCCTGAATTCAAGCAATTATATTGACATAACTTTTTATATTAAAAATCGAGTGCAAATTACCGTGTTTCCAAAGACCAGCAGATTCCTCTCGGGAGCACTATGTATTTATAGCTCGACTATAAATTCGTAGAAAGGTATCTACGATGGGGGAACGTGATGAAAATCGCTATGCCACCGCGGAAAATTGATATTGACGAATATCGCGTCGTATAAATCAATCTCGCCCGGACATTGTCGCGCGATCATGCGTGCGGATATTCGTCACGCGTTCATGGTAGCGGAGACTGAAACTGTTGTAATTTAGGTAGGTTCGGATTTCGATGTTATAGATTAGTGTAGATAGTGCAGAAATGATTTGTGTATTTAATCATAACGATTAAAGTAAGGCACGTGTAAAGTATATTTAAAAATTGATTTAAATCTATAATGCATAATAATACAATTTGTTAAAACGAGCTTCAACATTCTTTCTGTATTATTTTTTCCTTTTTTTTTGCATTTCACACATAAGCGACTTGTGTTTAAAAATCAAGCTTAATAAAAAATTATGCCGATCTCAATCCCATTTTTACCAAACATGTTTTCTTGCGAGCACCGTATAAATACGCGAACGTGACTTGCGAGGTTGCTACTGAGTGTCTGCCGGAATTTATGATTAATTCGCCGGCCGACGAAATGCGAGAGCAGATGAGCCGCGTCGACAACAGGATTATATAAGTCGCAAAATGCGGTATGATTTCGAACGAGGCAAAGTATAGCTGTGCTATGTTGTGCCGTGCATCGCAGAAATGCTAGTGTCTTTTGAAATTTATTTCCGAAGTTATACACAGCTCAACAGAATTCGATTTATTCGGCAACCGATCGAGGAATACTTAGCATAGATTTCAGTCCTTAATTTTGAAACCGCAGATAGAACGATTACTTAGACGATCCACAACAAAATATGTATTTAAAAGCGTTTTTCTATGAATGGACATCTTATCGGAATGATCTCGTATATATTTGAAACAATTTGTTCGATAAAACAATTTGTTTGCTACTCGAAGAAAAGGCAAATGTGTCAAAATGCTGCCGCAGATGCTTTCTTGATAGATAAACAAATAATGATTCCTAAACAATTTGAAGATTACGGTTAATCCACTCAAGTATTAATTTCCGAAAAATAAATACTCCCAACGTGGCAACATAAATTATGTAAATTAAAATGTTTGTTTATATCATCTTTTATCTTTTGCTTTTTTGGATTTTCGAAGTTAAATAAAACATGCGAGAATCCTTCCGAGGGTTTTGAGGATCTTCATTTGTTTACTACGAAAGTATTTAACTGTTAACCAACGGATACGTTCGCCTTCCTCGTTTCGATAAAGATAATGTATACCGACAGAATCTCTTACACACTGCTTGCTTGTATATTATTTCAAGATTAGAGTTAATCACATAATCTACATCGTGATCTGACTAACACTACTCGAGCGACCTACTCACCAAGTAAAATTTATAGACCATCATTTCTCACGCTTCAATATGTCGCCAACAAATGCATATACATAAGGATTTATATCCTTGATGACTATCAAATTCCTATCATACCTCATCTCTTCGAAATTACACCTTTTTATCATAATAATTTACTGTGTGAATACTCCTATATTAAAGTATGCGATATTTGATCTGAATTTGCATAAACCATATTGAATTTGAGTAGGTAGGGGAGACTGTGAACTACCTAGAGACATGTTATAACTTGGGACACCCAAATAATTTTTTTAACAACTAAATTTTTAATGTTGGCTGTTTAATTATATTATTTTTCAATTGAAATAATATAACTGACCAGTCAACATTAAAAATCTCGATATTGTTAAAAAAAAATATTTAGTATATCTTAAGGTATAATATATTCCTAGGTATCCATTCTTTCTTACTCGATAATTTCAATGCTAAAAATTTGTTAAATTGCCTAACAGTTTTAGTTATAATATAATCGAATTTGATTGAGATTTACTGAATAATCGAATATAAAATCGAAGACAGAACTCGAATTCGAGTGCGAGTAGAAATTACGAATGATTTTATGCGAGTAATAATAAATAAACAGCGTGCGGGACATGGCGCAATGATTTTCCAGAGTGTCGTTCGTGGATACACTTTCCTCGTGTCTAGCGCGCACGTTCCCACGAGATCCCCTGCGGAGTTCTCGGAGGCTTAAGATGTCGTATCGTTTGACGGCTGTGTGCTTGTCCGCCGGCGGCCACCATGGATTCGTGGCGGAGTTACCGCGGATACGAGAGAGGATCCCGAGAGGGCGGAATGTGGCCCCGACACTCTTCACCCCGCCCTGTCAAACATGTTCGACACCCCGATCCCATTCGCGAGCTCGAGCATTTCGTTTCTCGAAGAGAGAGAGAGAGAGAGAGACAGATAGAGAGAGATTGTGATCTTATTTTTCTCCCTCGACCTGAAAACGTCGAAACAATATGGACCTTTCTTCCCGTCGACGCAGACGAAAGATGTTTCATACGTCGAACATCTGCCAAAAATACTGAGGCACAACACGAATATTAATAAAATTTCACTAAATTGTTGAATATAAATCAATGTAAAACGCGAACTCTTAGAATAACGAGAAAAGTCGCGTTTTTATATTAAAAAAAAAATCAAATCACTCAACTTTGTCATTTCCGGGAATGAGAGAAAACTAGAGGCGTGCGGCGCCTCAGTGAATTCTTTGACACCAAGTGTCGCGTTGCTTCGGTTCGCACATGTTTTCATACAGAAGAGAAGAGATCGAAATTCGGTCCATGAAAGCGTGTAGATGACAAGGGGAGAAAGGAACCGCAACGTACAGTCGAGCGAACGGAATAAAGAAAAGCGAGAGTTAGAATGTCGAGTGAGAGGGGAGCAGGGATGGTAACTAGAGAGA